AGAAGAGGAAGGAGAAGAACTCTCTCTCTCTCTCTCTCTCTCTCTCTCTCTCTCTCTCTCTCTCTCTCTCTCTCTCTCTCTCTCTTGTGCCAGGTACTAACCTGAGAAGGTGGCGCCTTGTTGCAGGTACATCGAAGATGAAGCTGGAGCTATGGCGCCACAGGTAAGCTCCCAGGTAAGTCTCCCTGGCCTCCGCCACTTCCCTCTCTTCCAATGCTACTCTAAGATCCTAGCAGCGCCCCGCGCTGAAGACTACTCCTATGGCTATCTACTACTACTGCAGCGCTCCTGCAGAGTGCTGCGGCCGAATTCTGAAGACTGCCTCCTCAACTGCCTCCTGCCTGCAGCCTGCAGGGCAGACCAGTACTATATAGTGCTGGTCCGCCTGGGAGGCTGCTCTTGCCAATGCCGAATCGTGCCAGACCCTGGCGCTGAAGTTCAAAAAAAGGTTGTCTTGAAACGGGCCTAAAAGTGGCCTGCGCTTATCCCTGGTCTGGCGCCTAAGTTTCAGGAAAAGTTGACTTTATGAGGGACTGAAAATGGCCCTCCTTTTTAGGCTTTCAGGCTGACCGACACAGGGCCTGGAGGGCCCTTATTCCGCCTGGTTGGGCTCTGCAGGCCCGTGTGGTGCGCAGTATGCCACACCCCCCCCCCTCCTTGAAAGACCTAGCTTACCTACGAGGGTGAAGCTGCCTATCGGAGGGAGGGGCCAAAGTCCGGGTGGGAGGGGCAGGTCGTGAAGCTTCCTAATCTAATCTTTGTCGTTCGTAGTGAGCGTAGATCAGAGGTGCGGATGCTTGCAAATCTGCTCGTGAAATTCATCGAGTGTCGTCAAGATCGCATGCTTTGAAGGTAACTTTGTACTGTCGAGGCTTGTTGCTGTACTTGCAATCCGTGATGACGCGGTTGACTTCCTGATGACCATCCATAGAAGGAGGGTCTTGCGATCGTCGGCCCGGGAAATCGTCGCTCTTAGCCGATGTATATGTGGCCAGCTTCGACGCGTGAAAGACTGGATGGACCGGCAGATGCGGAGGGATGTCGATCACAAAGGATGGGCCGTCGGGCTTGTCACCTGCGGCTGAAAGGGCGGTCCATGGTCCAAACCACTTGGGGAGTAGCTTGCGTGAAACATCCTGTTCAACCGCAAACTCTTCCGCGGAGACCCAAACCAGATCGCCGGCGCGGATGGGACACGGCACGCGATGCCTGTTGGCTTGCTGCCGCATGCGGACTTGAGCCTTGTGCACGTTCGCACGGGCTTGAGTCAGCAATTCCCTGTACTTCCGGACGGAGGCGGGAGAGCAAGCGGCGTCTATGTCGACAGTTCGTGGGAGGAGAAGATCAGCGAAGATACGGCCTTTCCGGCCACCGTGGTGCAACTCGAATGGAGTCATGCCAATCGCCGGATGCAACGAAGTGTTGTAGGCAAACTCGATGTCGGGGTCAACCCAATCCTTTTGATCCGGACGGATGAGCGTACGAAGCATCATTTGAGCAGTCTGATGTGCTCTCTCCGTTTGCCCGTCTGTTTGTAGGTGCCGAGCCAAACTTGGTTTCATTTCGGTGCCGGACTCCTTCATCCAAAATGTCGACATGAACCGAGTGTTGCCGTCGCTGAGGATGTCTTCCGGAGCACCGTGGCTGCAGATCCAGTAGGTGTGCAAGAGCCGCGCGAGCTCGGGAGCTGTGGTGTAGTACTTGCATGGAAGAAACCGCGCGAACTTACTCAAACGGTCAACAACCGTGAGGATGCCGTCGTGCTCGAAGCGGTCGCGGGGAAACGGGTCGGTGACGTCCATAGCAATGGAGGTGTCGGGTTCTCGGAGAATAGGCAACGGGCGCAACTCGCCGTAGGGATTGCGGTTGCGGGACTTGCTTCGACGGCAAACTTCGCAAGAGTCGCAATACCGAGTGACATCGGGGATGACGTGGGGCCACCGAAATTGTTGCCGAAGTCGTGCAATAGTTCGATTGGCTCCGAAATGGCCAGCGATTCGCGAGTCGTGGTACTCGTCAAGAAGGCAAATTCAAAGACGACGGTCTCGTGGGACGCAGAGTAAGTCCTTGCCTCGCGAGTGGAGAAGCAAGTACCCGTGGACGATGCGATAATTGCTGGCCGGCAGGTGATCCGAAGATAGTTGTGGATATAGAGTGGCGAAATCCGGATCGGACTGGTAACCCCGAATGAAATGCCGTTGGAGTTCCTTGCCGAATGCGAAGGCATGATGTGTCGTAGTGCAAAGATCGGGTCTTCGCAAGAGTGCATCTGCTGAGTGATTGAGAGAGGCCGGCGAGATGTTTCGGTGTGAAGTCAAATTCGTCGATGAAATACATCCATCGTCCGATAGTGCTGCTCACCGTATCTTGCATCTCGTAGTAGGTCAACGGGTTGTTATCAGTGACCCATGTGAACCTACGACACCCAAGGAGGAAGTGTCACCATCGCCTGAGAGCCATCACGAACGCGAGCAGCTCCTTCTTCCTTGCATCATCAAGTGAGTTGATGGGAGGCACCTTGTGGCTGAAGTACTCCACGGGATGCCAGTCGTCGCCGTCGTGTTGTTCCAAAACTGCCCCAATACCATAGTCGGAAGCGTCGATTGGCACTCTCGTTGGCAAGGTGGGGTCGTAGATGCTAAGGATCGGACTAGTAACCCCGAATGAAATGTCGTTGGAGTTCCTTGTCGAATGCGAAGGCATGATATGTCGTAGTGCAAAGATCGGGTCTTCGCGAGAGTGCATCTGCTGCGTGATTGGAGAGGCCGGCGAGATGTTTCAATGTGAAGTCAAATTGGTCGATGAAATACATCCATCATCCAATAGTGCTGCTCACCGTATCTTGCGTCTTGTAGTAGGTCAACGGGTTGTTATCAAGAACCCATGTGAACCTACGACGCCCAAGGAGGAAGTGTCGCCATCGCTTGAGAGTCATCACGAACGCGAGCAACTCCTTCTTCCTTGCATCATCAAGCGAGTTGTTGGGAGGCACCTTGTGGCTGAAGTACTCCACGGGATGTCAGTCGTCTCTGTCGTGTTGTTCCAAGACTGCCCCAACACCATAGTCGGAGGTGTCGGTTGTCACCCTCGTTGGCAAGGTGGGGTCATAGATGCTAAGGACGGGTGCCATGAGCATGGTCGTCTTGAGTCTTGAAATAACCGGCATGCTTCGTCGGTGAATACGAATGGCACCTTTGGCGATTGTAATCTCGTCAATGGTGCGGCAGACCTCGAGTACCCCGTGATGAAGCGTTGGTAGTAGCCTGCCAACCCCATGAATGAGCGAACGTCCGTGGTGTTGGTGGGCTTGGGCCATACGTGGATGACCTCAATCTTGTCCGCAAGCGGACGAATGCCTTGCGGCGTCACATAATGGCCCAAGTATTTGAGGTCCTGCCGCGCGAATTCACATTTGTCGCGGTTGGCTTTCTACTTGGCTTGTCGTAGCCGCTCCAAAACAATGCGCAGGTGCTCCACATGCTCGTCCAAACTTCGGTTGTACACCAAGATATCATCGAGGTAGATGAGTACAAATATGTCCAGCATGTGTCGGAACTCCGTCGTCATAGCCGTTTGGAACGTGGTCGGGGCATTCGTAAGGCCAAAAGGCATAACCCGTCGTTCGAAATGCCCATATTGCGTCTTGAACGCGGTTTTGCAGCGGTCCTCCTGCCGGATCTCGAGTTGGTGATATCCCGATTTGAGATCAAGCTTGGAGAAAAAATTTGCACCGCCCAGCCATTCAAGGAGGTCGTCAATGCGCAGAAAAGGTCTGGCGTTCTTGACGGTTTGCGCGTTGAGCTTGCGATAATCTATGCACAACCTCAAGTCCTTGTTCTTCTTCCGAACGAAGAGAACGGGGGCACCGTATGGCGAAGAGCTAGGCCAAATCCAGCCTTTCTCAAGAAGGTCGTCGAGTTGTGCCGTAGCACACTTAACTCTTCCTCGCTCATGCGGTAGATGCAACCACGCGGAGGTACGGCCCCGGCCTTGAGGATGATCTCATGGCGGATTGGCCGATCTGGTACGACTCCATGCGGGGCTTCGAAAACGTCGCCATAAGCATCGAGAAGCTTTGTGATGCGTGGGTCCGTCGATGCGTCCGTCGATGGGATATCATGGGGAGGGAGGGCGTGGAGAAAACACACGCCCATCTCCTCGATGTCATCCCGGGTGATGGAAGCTCAAATGCTCGTGGCGGATGACAGCTGATCGAAGGGTGAGGTGGAGGCACCGTGCACAAGACTAGTACTCCGTTCCGATCACGAATGTGAATGGTGCGGCGGTAGAAGTTCACCGGCTGATCCTCGCTTCGCAGCCACGACATGCCCAAGATCACGTCGAACTTGGTGTCCAAAATGTCAAAGGACACGGCCTCACTTGCATGCGGGGCGAAGTACACGGGGACGGAATCAATGCACCGGTTGATTGACTTGTGTGTGTGACCGTCAGCCTATGTGACTTGCTGCGACTTCCTCCGAATGTGTGGCCCCAGGCCAGCGAGTACCATAAAACCTTGGCTCATATAGTTGCGAGTAGCTCCGCTATCGATCACAGCGCTGCAGGTCACTTCTCCGATCTAAATGCGTATGTGCAGCAATGGCGCGTCGTTGGTGTCGTACCACTGTGTCCTAAACTCGCGGTCAATCTTCACAACGTAGTCATGAAGGTCAACAACCTCTACTTCGGCATCCATCAACGGAGTCGGTACTGCAGTGTGCAAGTAATCCCGCAATTGTGCCATGAGCACGTTGCAATGCGGTTTTGGCAATCGACCGGTCGGGGGAAGGGGCATCCATTGGAAGTCGGCGAACGTCAACGGGTCCAGTTTCTCAAGTCTTGACCATGACGTCGAATCCTCGACGAAAGTTGGCGGCGAAGCTGCCGAATCGGTTGTCGATGGTGATGAAACTTTGCATGCGGTGGAGTCTTGCACGTGGAGTGGCTGGTCCAACGGTGGGACCAAGTGGACAGCGTAATCCTCGTAACTGAACCGAGGACTCGCGACATCCGCATTCTCCCAAAATGTGTAGGAGGCCGCTACCAAGGCGGCCGAAATCTGGCGGAGTGAGAGGTGGAGTCGACTCACCTCCCACGCAGCTCAGTTTCCCGAGCTGATTCGAGGTCGAACATCCTCCTTGCCTTGGTCTTGGCATTGGGAGGTCTTGTGCTTGGTGCTTTTGCACCAATAGCAGCAGCCGTATCGGTTGCGGTACTTGTTTTCGGCCTCGGTCAAGCTGAACTTGACCCATGGTACCGGCTGTCCATTTCCGGTCAGCGATGCTGTTTTCACCTTCCCTTTTCGACGGGAGTTGTAGTTGCTTCGGGGCTGGACGACGACCAGCTGATCTCCCTCACGTGATGCTGGGGTGGATGTCGGGTCTTCCACAAGGTTGTCCGGTTGGACTGCAGCGACAGGCTGCGGACGCGGACCAAATTTCCTCTCTCCACATAGGCTGGCTGCCATGCTGATTTCTCGTGTGCAGCAGCCCGGTTGGTCTTGATGATCTCTCGCACCTTGTCGATGATTTCGGCGGAAGGTCGTGTACTGGTCTCGATCACCAAGTACGAGGCTCAAGGCGGCACACGACCGATTGTAGAACTCCCGGCGCAGATGCGAAAATGGCAAGTCAAGATCGGGTGTTGCCACAATCTTTTGCCATCCTGTGAGCCAGTCGCGTGTTGGTGTGTTGCCTTGAGTCATGCTGAAGAGGCGGTTAATGGCGAGCGTCGGGGTGTCGTCGACAATGAACCACCACTTCCATTCCCTCGTCATCTCGTCCCAGGAGATCTTCTTGTGCAAATCGGAGACCCGAACGTCGTGGATGGTTGCCATGTGGTTGAGCCAGATTTGGCATCCACCCTTGGCGTTGAGGAACAGCGTCGAGATGTACAAGTGATCGGGGACCTGATGAATCCGAAGCTCCGTCGAAAAGCCCTGGCACCAGGGGACCAGGTCCTGATGCGTATAGTCGTCAAACTTCTCGATCAGGAACGTCGGCATCCTGTACTGCCGCGATGCACTGGTGCTGCCATCGTTGTCAGGCAGCTGGTGTAGTTGTTGAACCTTCTTCTTCAAGGTGTCGAGCTGCTCGCTGAAGGAGGTCGGTGTGGCGAAGGTGCTGATGTTGTTGAGCATTACAAGAACATGATCAACTCGTTGGTCCAACTGGCGGGTAGAGGCTGCATTGTTGGATTCACCGGCATCTGGTCTTGGTGGTGCTTGCTTAAGTCCTGTAGACGGGTATGAAGTGTCCGTGTAGCATCCTTGTGGTTCCGCCCTGCCTGTCGGAGCTTCTTCACTGCCTGTCGGAGCTTCTCCACTGCCTGGTGTTGTTTCTCTAACTCGGACTGAAGGTGGTTACAAGTGTAAACCAACCGAGTTACGAGTTTGGAGAGAAACTCCTTGTGCTGCTCTTTCGGTGTTGCGTCGTCATGGCCGTCGGATGGTTCAAAGTGGCAGAACTTGAGCCTGTCGACGCTGGTGGCTTCGTGCCGCTGCAGCAGATCTTGGGCCTGCTTTCGAGGGGCCTGGGCATCTGCGTCAGCTGCGGCCTAAAGCCGCTGCTCTTCAGCCGCTTCCTCCACTTCAGCCTGTAGGCGGGCAGCCTCGGCTGCCGCCTGGCACTGTTCCTTAGCTTCAATTTGTGCGAGCTGATCTTGGATGCGCTGTCGGAACTCGGCAATGGACTCGCTGGCCAGTTGGCCAAGCATGCCCAAGACTAGAACCGTCATGGCGGCGGGGCATTGTTGACGTGTCACTGCTGCTGCGGTACTGCTGACGTGGCACTGTTGCTGTCGTGGTACTACTGATGTGGCACTGTTGGTGTCATGGTACTGCTGACGTAGCACTGCTACTGTAGTGGTACTGCTGACGTGGCACTGCTACTGATGTGTCACTGCTGATGTGGCACTGCGGCTGACGTGGCACTTACCAAACCGGGAACGCAGATGTTACATGCAACGCCTGCAACAGGCTGCACGGGCCCCCTTTCAGGCCCATTGTCGAGCGCACCGGTCCGGCACCGCACAAAACGGGGCGGGACCCTCCTGGCCGCGTCACGCAGGAGTTGTTCTATCCCTCATCGTGAATACACATAGAGCTATCGCAAGCCGCTCCGGCCGAGTGCGCCAGCCATACCTCTCGCGAGCCCTACGACAAGATAGGGCCTACGCGAGGCACGACTTACCTCCACCTTACGAGAGTTGTCACCTCCCTTCGGTGGGCGTATCCCCGCCGAGCTACCGGCCCACAATACGAAAGCTAATCAGTTGCATTCGCAGAGGTGGACCAGTCGAGGGCGTTTTCTCGTCCACTGTAGCATAGGGGGTACGCGCGATTTTACGCCTCTATCGGACCCGCACGCGAACCGACGCCTTGGGGGGGATGAGGTCCCAAGCGCGACCCGTCGTCCCTCGACAAGGACGCTTCCCATACACCCCGCGCACACCACTCTAATAGACATAAAATTTAGAACACGCACGCACACACACATATACGGAACAACGCAGAACAAACAATGCGACGACACTCCTAGTCCCTTAATAGCCATCCCATAACTTTTTGATGCGGAAATCGGTTAAGCGACACGCGCAAGACTTAGTATAAAACCGCGCGGACGCTGGGCCTTCACATATCAACTAGCAATGCATGAATACGCAAGCAGTCGCAATGATGGCGTACTATAGTGCCCATAATCAAGCGATCCCTCGTGGATCCGAGTACCGCTTATGACACTCGAGTGTCAAACTTGAAGTATCGTGCGGGTCTACCCCTTCACGATATTGCACGGCTGAAGGAATAGTCGTGCGGCCTCCTCGGCACCTCCTGCCTTTAGGCTGAGTGTCCCGGTAGGCAGGGCAATTAGGCTCTGCGCGGGGGGTGATCCCTTCCATGCAGAGTCTAGGACTTGGGATGTCCTGGACAAGGACCTCGAATCCAAGCCCAGGATCAACGTTCGACTTAAGAAATCTTTAAGAAGCATTAACAAAAAAGGGTTTTCTTTTCTTTCTCAATATCGACCTCAATTAAACCCTTCAGCGTGGGCCCCTCAGGTCACGCAAACACCTAATATAAGTATATACATGTACATATGTAAAAGGAAGATAAGTATGTGACGATCACTTCTCACAATCACAGTGGACTCCTCACAACCATTTATATGTGTGTGATCGCAAGCAGTCAAATCCAAAATCTGAACCACAGAACATACCTGCAATCACATCAAAGAGTCAACCAAAGTCCATATACTATACGGAGTCAACTTCAATCAATCTCTATACTCATACCCCTCGCTTAAGTCATGCAAGCCCCAGCCTTTATCCAACCTTCCATAACTAAATACTCAGTACCTTTGTTAAATGGCCATTCAATAAAAGTTCGAGTGAAAACCTTCATAAAACAATAAAAATCATCAGGGCTAAAGTATTTTAGGTTGAGTATTTGAGGATGAATTGGAGTTGAGCCATAGACCAACGAATCGGCAACTCACCTGTTATCACTGATAGCAAAAGATGATCCTCGTGGGATCAAGTTGAATCTAGCCCAAATCCTGAATCAATCAATCAATAAGACCTGTAACACAAGACAGACCAACCCCCAAGCTAAGTTTATAAGTGAATGGAGAATACAGCTTCATAACACATTCTCACCTAAGACTTTTCTACAAGCTAAGCCTAGGTTTGCCTCTAAGCCAGTGCCCAACGCAAGGCAAACCTATGGCAGCATCTCCCTTATTCAGGGTGGATTGTCAGAGTCGCCACCTACCAAAATATAATCTTACTCCTCTAGACTAAGAAAATTTCGGCAGCGCTTCCCATAGGAGAAGTGCCTTCTCAAAATTTATACTAGCTTAGGTATGAGAACATAAATAATATCTAACTTTGGGAAGTTAAATTTTGTCCAACTCCTTGAATTAGTAAAAATTTGGGCAGCACTCCCTTTAGAAAAGAAGACTTCCTAGATTTTTACTGGTCATATATATAACTCAGACAAACTGAGTTTTTGAAAGTAAAAATTTGACTAACACCTTGGTTTTGCAGAAATTTCGGCAGCGCTTCCCATAGAGAAAATGGCTTACCACGATTTATACAAGACCAAGTATACTAAAAGACCCCAGAAAATGCAGAAATTGACCTAAGTAAAATAAACTTAGCTAAAAAAATGCAAGAAATGGCTCTAGCACGTGGAGAGCAAGTAAAACAACTACCTACCAGCTGAAACTCAGACTAAGTAGTGATCTCACTCAGCCACATGCAAGCCAAACCACAAAGGTAAATACTCTCACCAGCCCGAAAGCCAACCTTATCAAACAATAGTTCATGATTTGTCAATGATTTATCCCCTTTATACCTAGCTTACATAAGGCATAAAGCTAGATCACCCAATCTTATGGGAACCTGTCTAGCTCAGCCTTAAAATATACTCAAACATAGGGCACTACAACTTTTATCTTCTTTGAGTATATGACTAGGTTAGCCAGCCTAGTCGCCTTGACCCATTTAAATATCCAAGTTATATATAATTATCTGCACTTAGTCTTTTAAGACAACATATGACTGAACCGGTCATCTTACATCAAGATTCAGCCTGTTCCTTCTTACCACAATTTTTATTCTTACTTCATACTCTCTTTGGTTGGTATTAAGCTATAGTCAGACCATCCAATCTTATGGAAAAATGTCGGACTAGCCTGTTCATAAATAAGTAGTATAAAATATAAACAAATTTGAAATTTAACCTTTTAGTTCCAGCATGTGCGTGGCTCCAGACCAGACCACCCAATCTTATGGGAACCTGTCCAGTCCTTTGCCTGAATTTCTCCCTCAAAAATAAAACAAGAGAGAGTCAAGGTCATCCAATCTTATGAAACCTGCCAACTCTCCTTCAGAAACTAGCAAAACATAAGAAAACCTCAAAGAAACAAGGCGACCAAGCCATCCAATCTTATGGAAAAATGCTTGGTCCCTGAAAGGCAAACACATGCAGCCCTCGCAAGTCAAAGCAACCAGACCACCCAATCTTATGGGAACCTGTCTGGTCCTTCAGGCAATCAAAAATAAACATAGCACTGGGCCCTCCAATCTTATGAAGACAATCCCAGCCTTTTGTTGACCCAGACACAACCTTCCTCCCATCCTTCCCCCAGATGCAACCCCACAATCTGCTTTCAGTCAAACCAACAAAACTGAAACTACAACTTGCACAATCATTCCTTTAATTAAGTCTGGTTTTGTCCTGAAAGTCAATCTGAAAGTCAAAGTAGGGATGCAGGCAATATACTCAGTCAGCAATAGCAAGACGTACAAGTAGGGGTTATAACTGAGCTTATAGAAGGAAAGCAATGGTTACCTCTTTTCCCTGCCTCCAGAACCTCGCCTAGGTTCCGGCAGAGCTCCCGCAATCGGTGGGTTGACTCCCCACAAAGTCCTACTGCGGTCCTACGGGTTGTAATCCCGCCTGCCACCTTCCTCTCAGAACTGGACTAGACTTAGAGTAAGAAGGACAGAGTGAGGGATTTCAGACTCTCGAGATACAAGAGGGGGACTGACTCAACTCTCAGGAGAGGGCCTTGAAATCTCAATACGCCCGAGGGCCCCACAATGATGGCCAAAACGCATCAGCAACCCGGTCAACTGAAGTCAAACTTTCACCTATTGACCCCCCTGACGACTCCCCCACTTGTAGCAAGGCCCTTAACGATCACGATGAGCACTGCAAAGCACGGCTCTAGCAGTTGCAGGCCAACTAAGTAGAATCGGCCGCTAATATAGCAACCGCGGGCAGTAAATGCATTTGTAGCAGCAGCGCACAGTGATCACCACAGTCCTTCACACTAGCGACTCCAATCGTACCAGCTGCAACACCCCTCACACAGGCTGAAACGCCAGACTCACGGACCAAAACAACACCAATTTATCCAGCTACAGCCTCCCCTGCGTCAATCACAACCGAGTTGGTTTCACCACCACCAACATATGCGTCCAAAGCCCTTCTCTGAAAACAGTCTACCACCACAACCACTATGCGCTTACTGAGCATGCCGCAACAGCAACCAAGGCAGCCGCAGACTCTTATTTTGCTGACCTCCATAACGAACAGGTACGCGTCCGATTCCTCCCCCTCTCGCTTTCCTTCTTACTTCCGTGTAAAACTGAGTGATGATCAAATGACAACTGTCCAGAATGCACGATCATGTTGGAGGAAAGAAACCCAACGCTATTCAGAAGTCGCAGTCATGGTACACTGATTTCCTACCCACTGGAAGACCAAAGTACCGAATCCAAACACCAACGAGAGCAAACTTCTCACCACCGGCAGCGGCGTAAGCATAACCCGCCTATATCGTGGC